GGCATAAGTATTTTAGAAAATCTTAGGTAGGGCATAGAACAAAAAAAGTTGAGAAACACTGGTCTAGCTCTTCAAGTAATTAAATTATACGATAATCTATGGAAACATTGTTTAAAAGTACAGAAAGACAAACTGTATCTGTTTGTTTTTAAATTTGTGTAATATTTTTGTATATATTTTGCAAACAAATCACAGTACATGTTTATATTTTCGAGTACACGGACAATGATATATAATAAAGTAAAATTCTATTGGATTATTTAATCGTAACGTACTTTTTGCCGATGTAGCTTCGTTTCGAATTCCCGCAACTCTCGAGAAAGGCATAGTTTTTCCAAATTCGTAATAAAGAGAATACAACATTGTCATCGGCCACTTTCCTTCCATTTCGTCTGGGTTGATCTGTAACAAGTTCCTTTATTTTTCATCAACTTTCGAGAATGTTTGTTTTTTATTTCGACGAGTCACATTACGTACATCAACCGTCGTCATCGAAGCTAAGAACGAGTTGAGTGCTTTTTTAACACGGTTATCTCTCCACATGGACGTAGTGGTGTATTGACCGATCCACTGATAAATCAGTTCGTAGGCTGTGTTCCATAGGGAAGGTCTGCTTAATTCGCTATCCCTGCGATAAAAAATTGAATTTTAACAGTTTTTAAAGTAACATTGCCTTTATGCCCAATAGAATTTCATCAATTGATACACTTTTTGACATTTTCGCGACAGTGTCGTATTACTGTTTATGAAAACTAAATTTTCTTTATTGTAACATTACGATATTCGATTATTTATCAAATAAAAAATTGCAAAACGAAACAGGGAAATATTTTTTTCTACAGATAATTTCTGGTTATTTGCATCGAAAAATACCTATCGGTTGGAATCATTGAAATTGGTAGGGTGGTCTTTAAACTACGCAATTATCGTTGTTTTCTTAACCAGTAATGCACTTGATTGTAATAGATACACTACGCAACAAAATTATCCAAACGAAATTTTGCCATTCTTCAAACGTGCATAATTCTGTCAATTTTCATTGTATCGGGACAATTTTTCTTTTAATTTGTAGATAACTATTTATACGATTTTGTTGCATGGTGCATATTGGGTTGTCCGGAAAGTCCATGTCGATTCTTGATAGGTGGTACAGGTCAGAATATACAACTGGGGGACACGATTAGGGGGACAGTTCTTCAAAATGTCGTGTAGATAGAGTACAAAAAAAATAGCTATTTATGTAAATTGCAAAATTAACAAGAAGAAAACAATCAATCGATAGAAATATTGAGGCAATAAGTATTCGCACAATTGTTTAATTTTTAAAACTTCATTAAAAAAAAGAAATTTATATTAATTTATAAGTACATAATACAAGTATATAATATAAAACTGTACTACGCATTAAATTAACTAAATTATTAGTTATTCGAAGTGGGATCTTCTTTCATTCCTTTATTAGAGCATTTTTTAAGCCTTTTTATGGAAATTTGAGTTTTTCTAATTGGTACGGAGCAATAAACTAATGTGTTTACGTTACACTTTACGCACTTTTTTTCTTAATTTTAAAAATTATAGTAATTAGTAAATGTTGTTTGGACTATATCTATCTTAGAGATTTCCGAGAACATGTAAAATATCATTGATTATAAAAAATAAAGTTAAGAAACTACAATTTCACAGAAAAGTTTTTTGGGAAATTGATGGGTGTACGAATACATTCTATACCCACTGTATACATCCCTTAAAAGGTGGGATAAAATGATACTTATGTAATTCAATAAATATATGTATATTAAAATTGAAACGTGCCTTTGAATTTTTCTTAAAAATTTGCACGAACTTTCTGAACAACCCAGTACGTATAGTTAAGAAAAGTAATAAAAAATATACATACTCGAATAGCATCAAACCCCAACTGTCGGATCTAGCGGAGCCGTACGATGGGACGGCCACCAAGTCGAGTTTCGGTGAGATGATCGAGTTGTTGAAGTATTCTTGTAAATAATTCATAATTTTGACAACTTTGTCAGGCACGTCCTTCAAGGCTTCCAAATTTTCCTTCGGGCCCCACACCTTAATCTCGAGTTTTCTTCCGTTCATTTCGTTCATTTCTTTTGTGGGCGAGATACTCACGAAATCGGATACCAATAAACCCAACTGATAAGTCGACAATTGCGGTGTCTTTTCAAAGTGATCCCAGATCAAGTCTGGCATCCCGTTACTGTACAAAAAGTAATAAGGTAATTTTGCTTTGTAAAAACACAGAAAGGATTTTCATTTCGAAAAATAATAACTCGATCGTTCATTGCAACAAATCGATTAACTTCATAAAACAATAAGTTGAGAAATGTGATGAAATGGCCTCTGAAGTAAATTATTTATTATTCAACGGCCACAAAAATTCTGTCGTTTAATGGTGATAATCTCTATTTTCTGAGGCCTGTATAGTTAATCACATTAAATAAATACAAGATACAAGATATTTTGTTATTAGTTATAGTAACATAGTGAGGCTAGAAACAAAAAGGATTGTTCCGACAATCACTTTTTACTACTTATATGATGGGAACATGTCTACATAATGCCTTTCTTGGTAATGAATGTAATAATAAATAGCCAATAAGAGACTAAGAAAATAAAAAAATTAGAAAATCAATGCGAAGAACTGTTTCCTAAATTTAAACGAAATGAACATTACGCGTTACTTACGCCTCGGTACTTTTTTCTAGAGGGGTGCTCGAAAGTGCTGTCATATTCTTCGGGCGCAGGACGCTTAGCTTGAAGGTTGCTTTGTAAAAAGGCTCGTCCATACACGGAAACACCCTCCGAACATGGCTGTCCTTGAAATTCATAGCCACGATGGGACTGAAGAAAAAACAACAATGTAGAAGATGTTACATTTTCGCCAGATGTGGTGGTGAAAGCATTTTAATTGTAATTACTGTTTCTCCCCGTTGAAGTTAACGTATTCGCGTTTGAAGAAACCAGTTGTTTCATTGGTGGCGAGGCTACCAGTAAAACTCATAGACACTTCGCAACTGCTGCCTGCCTCCAACATCCGCTCGAGGTGGAAGACGAAGAAAGGTTCCCTTGAGTCAGGCGGTTCGACATGCGTGACGCGTACGTCCATCAGAGGCAAGCCCTTCTCCCTTTTTTTTAACAATAATGTAACAATTCATCGGTTTTAATGAATATTTCTTCGGAACTACTTCTACAGATCTACAGATATTCTCCCTTTTTTTTTTAACAATAATGTAACAATTCATGGGGTTTAATGAATACTTCTTCGGAATAGTTTCTACAGATTCAATCAGTGCAGAAAAATTTACATTTTGCATTGAATTAAAGAAGTGTTTCCTTTATCCTTGACCACTGATCGTTTCTGGAACAGGTAGGTGAAATTCAGTTCAAGTGTAAAAGTGCTTCGTACTAAATCAATGGAATATACAAGGTATACAATTTTTTGCTTAGCAAAAATGTCGTCCGAGGCTTCGTTAAGGAGATTGTTTTGTTTGTTGAGTTTATAGCAGTGATGGGCAAAATCGTAATCGCAAATACGAATACGATTGTAATCGAATGTTTTCGAGTTGTGATTACGACCGTATTTTTAAAGGTTTACAGCCATAGAAATTCTTTACCTCAAAACCGACATCAGATTCGTGGTCCTCACATTAAAGAACTTAGAATAATGAAACGAAAATTGAATTGCTTTTTTCTTATCACTGATGAGACATTAAATATAATTTATTCTCTAATGCACCACAAACTGAATATACAAACATAAGTGATCTTCGTTAATAGACTCGTAACTTTATTTAGATACTTATTCCAATTCAGGAAGTGTTCACATACTTTTCAGCGGCAGTGTATATATACGTAATTTTATATATTTTTTTTATTTATATTAAAATCTTTATTTATAGACCCTCCTTATAATCTATTAGGGGGGGGCGGGAGGCAGAAAGTAATGTCGTTTCTTTTACATTAATTTCAAACAAATGTACAACAAGATTTATTTTTAATCAATTATGTAATCGCCCTCGTTATCAACGACCATTCTATACTGCGTGACCTACTATATACTGTGCAAATTTTCAATATCTGATCGATAAAAATCAATTGGTATACAATGAGCTGATAAATGATAAACAAGCATTGACATTCACAGAAACGACATTACTTTCTGGTTCTTCTAATACATTCCGAGTAAAAATTCAACTTCTCCGAGTGATAGAGACTTCAATATCGTTTAATAATAATTACAGTTAATATACACCAATCTGCAAATTAAGTGGCCTACACTTTGGTATAAAGAGAAGTAGTACGAGTTAGAGGAAAATCTCAGAGAGGTTTTGAATGTTGAAAGTAACATTGAAAAGTAATAGTTATGTAGAAATGAAAGTATATGGAAAAGTTTATTCTTATTTCGATCTAATTTTCCAGATATTCGGTGACGTTGGTAACTTACCTCTCCTCTAGCGACGGTTCTACGATTCTAACATTGCAATCTGTGATCGTAAGGTCCGGTTGAACGTGTAAAGCAATTACGTTGCTCTTATCCATCCAAGTGACGTTTACCTTGACACGACCATTGTATTTGTTGTCTCCGATAAAAGGTTCAAGTTCCAGGTGATAGCTAGTCGGGGTCTTCAGTAACGTGCCTTCACGCAGATTGTAGAAGAGTAGACGGTGTGGGCCTATAGTTCGCTTCCATTGCGACTAATAAACAAAACACCGTTTCACGAGCAATCATTTTATTTCTGCTATTTCTCATACTTCAATTATTATACATCTTTCCCATTTTGGTTTTTATAATATTACAACATGTCTACGTATTACGCGTAAAAATTAATTCGGTGCCTTTCTACGGTAAACGTATCATTTATTTATTAAGAACAACCTTACAACTTTTAATTTTCCCTCATTGTCAGTCACACATTTCGAGAGAGCACACGAGAGTGCGTGTTCGTTTTTGTTCGATTTATACGGTTTTCCGATCTTTCGTGTAAATTGAGGGAGAGATGTATCTAATCGTGTTAAAATCGGTATAGAAATTTATCACATACACGAGGGAAAGCTTCGGTATTCTGTGGCAGTGCCAGAATAAGGAAAAGTCCCGCAATTGATGCTATCCACCTCATAGTTTTCCTGCAGAGTAAGTCGATGCGATTATTAAAATAAATTTCGATAACTAAGGGCGTTACACAGAATTCAATTAAATATAACGTATGCCTATGAGTCGAATGTTTTGATTTAAAGACTATCCAATTAAACGCTAAGAATTCGTATCTGTTAAATGGTATACTGCAATGAAAAGTTGAATCCATGGAATATCCCAATCTTTTTACTCTATTTTTTATTTTTATTTTTATTTTGCGCAATTGGCCACATATATGAACGTTTAGTTTTTTATCAATACAATTACTGTCAATAATAAAAAGAACAAAAATTTGATAATAACGAAAAAAAATTGCTCCTAAAGAAGTTATATACGACTGAGTTTTACTAAGACACTAATATTGTTTGAGAATCAACAAAAACTATCCAATTAAACGGTACGAATTCGCATCATGATTTATTAACTGACACATTGCAATCAAAATTCTAACCCACTGAATATCTCAGTTTTTTACCCTATTATTTTTTTTTTTTAGATACGATTGAGTTTTACCAAGAAACTGATATTACTCGAGAATCAACAAAAGCTATCCAATTAAACGGTACGAATTTGGATCACGATTTAAGAACTGATGCATTGCAATAAAAATTCAAACCCATCGAGTATCCCGGTTTGTTCACTCTATTTATTTTATATTTTTAAATACGACTGAGTTTTACCAAGGCACTGATATTATTCGAGAATCAACAGACGAACTACACGGTATCGTTTCATTCTATGATTCGGGAATCACCGTTGCTGCACTCCGACGTACTTCGCGATTCTTAACCAATAGGTCCGTACTTGCATACGGTAGGAAACGATCTGACCGTAGCTATTCTAAGAATCCCGAATTGTCGTCGTCTAAGACTACTTTGATCCGAGTTATCACCGTTGTTTGACCTTGATACCGTGGACCGTATACGAAAGATTTCCTCTTGCGAAACGAAAGGACCGCGTAGGTACGCGGTCGTTCGCGAACTGTCCCCTAGGTTTAATCCTCTTCTCGACCGAACGAGGCTAACGATGACAGAAAGAAACGAAAAAGAAAAAAGGCACGAAAAGTATAACAGGGAGCACAGAAAACGTGAACGACCACGTGACGGTGGTTCCTCGTGTCGGATTGGACTCCGAAGCACGGATTCAAACCGTTTAGATCCACTTAGCCGCGTAATCTGTAGATCGTCCATTATCCAATTCCATCAGGCAGACGTCACAAAAGGACATAATCACAACGGTATCCGCTGGTGACGGGTGGGAAGCGCAGCGTCAATGGCCAATCCCGAAAGCATCAATGGGAAATTGAGATGCCACAAGCGACTCGGTGAACCTCCCGCCCCCTGGTACCATTCTTGGCGCCATTGTAACCAGTTTAAGTATGAAAAGCTACCAATCCAGATCCAGGCTCAACGTCTGTTTCCGATTCGGCGTCAATTAGAACCGATAGAGTGTTTTGTGTACGAGTTTCTTGCCTGGCTTGCGCCAGAACTGGGTCACTCGTGCCATTCGGCGATATCTTTTTTACGTCTTTCGGGGAGGCCCCGAAGACCACCCTCCGCCGACCAGTTCTCGGAAGCTGGTCATTCTGATCGAATTGTGTCGGACGATCCAGAGCGGCGATTCATTCCGCACCTCCTACTAATGTTGTTGTCGTTCCGAACGTGCCTCACAATTCAACCACTTAGACTCTCGCCAACGAACTAGTATTTTTTTATCATATTAACATGACGACGTTTCAACGATTACATGTTACGATACTCTTCAGGTGTACTATACTCTTGGAAACGATCGTACAGCAAATCTATAGCTATAATTAATACTATAAAGAGGTAAAGTTTTTTTTTTGTTTGTTTGCTTGTATGTATTGGGTTGTCCAGAAAGTTCGTGTCAATTTTTAAAAAAAATTCAAAGGCACATTTGAATTTTGATATATATTTATTGAATTATATAAGTACCATTTTGTTCCACGACCTTTCCACCTTTTAAGGGATGCACCCATGTTAATTGTTTTCAACCATACCAATATAAACAGACGTGTACCACCTATCAAAAGTCGGCATGGACTTTCCAGACAAAGTAATAGGAAGTAATTTCCGGAACTACTGAATCGATTTTAAAACTTTTTTCAGTAATACGTAGAAAGCTACACTATCCCCGAATAACATAGGCTATGTTTTACTTCGATGAAAATGCATTCTCAATTTGAGATCTCGAAATTTATAAATCAAGTAACGCTTTTCTTCCGACTTGATTTATAAATTTCTTCTGATTTTTATATTGAAAAAGGAAAATAATCAATAGTTTACAGCCAAAATGTACCACAATTTTTTGCCTTATGTTTTTTGGGCCTATTAAACTCTAAAATCGCAATGAAAAATTTTTCTATGGATAGGTTTTTTTTATATGAATTTTTTTCGATTTTCTTCTGAGATACTTTCACATTTTAGGCCATATCTCGAGTTAGAAACATCCGATTGAGTCGTACAAGGTGCCATATTAAAGGTAATCGAATTTCCAACAATTGCTTTTCACATTGTTTTCCAATCGGTTTAATAGTTACGGGCCAATATATATATAAAATTTCAATTCTTTCGGCTAAAATAGAACACCAAAAATTTCTTCCATCGGCATGCAAAAATAGAAATTGTCAAATTATGTCGAGTTTCTTATTGTTTATGTATAGATCGCTCTTTTACGAAGAAAACAAGCTTTTGTTGAAGAAAATCTATGGATAAATACCGGAGTTAGGAACAATTGATTTAAGATACAAAAATTCCAATTTTACTCTGTTTTTGTATTTTTCTCCTGTTTATTCAGGAAACGTTTATTTAATTAATTTCGATCAGAAAAAATTCCAATTTTACTCTGTTTTTGTATTTTCTCCTATTTATATAGGAAACGTTTATTTAATTAATTTCGATTAGAAATAATTTTGATCTTTGCTTTGTCTTCTGTTCATCTTCGGGTTCGTTTCTCTGATGAGGAAGCAAATGTAGTCTCTCAACATTCTTTCATCCCAATATCCTTGATCTTGGTGAAACCTTTCACCGTGTTCGTCACTTACATCGCCAGGATTCTTCGGGAAAAAATCCAAGCGAGAATGTAAAAAATGAATTCTGAGCGACATATTTATGTTTGTTGAAATTAAAATAGAAATTAAATGTACAAATCTTTTCATTTTGTCAAATCAAATAGAATAACAATATATATTCCATACCCATTTTTATATAATTTATCAGCAAATCTTCGACAACTTTCTTATAATAAGTATAAGAATAAGAAAAATTTCACCAAGATATCAAAACTATTGAGCAGCGCTATCAAGGATATTGGGATGAAAAAATGTTGGGTCTGTACGTAAACAGTGTGCGATTTATACGTAAGTAATAAGGAACTGGACATAATTTGACAGTCTCTATTTTTACATGGCGATGGATGAAATTTTTGTGTTCTATTTTAGCAGAAAAAATCGAAGTTTCTCATATATGTTGGCCTGTAACACTTACAATATTAAACCGATTGGAAAACAATGTGAAAAGCAACTGTTGGAAATTCGATTACCTTTAATATGGCATCTTGCACGACTGAATCTGACGTTTCTAACTCGAGATATGGTCTAAAATGTGAATCTCAGAAGAAAATCGAAAAAAGATTTAAAAATTCATATAAAAAAAACCTATCCATAGAAAAATTTTTCATTGCAATTTTCGAGTTTAGCGGGCCAAAATACATAAGAAAAAAATTGTGGCATTGAATGTATTTTTTTTTTTATTTTGTAAATTAGCGTAATTCACAGAGAAATGAATTATTAGGTCACGACCGAATTCGTCATTAATATTTACTTAAAAATCTATCTCTACATTATACCCAGTTAAATGCGTTCAGCTGTTACAAAGTATTTAACTACATACTTATATAAACACTATAGTAATTATTGCACACACGCGAATAAGAATAGTGAAATCGGCACAGGTAGTCATCGAATAAAAATATTAGAATCGTGTTAGAATATTTACGAAAATACGAACCGAACGATATTACAATGGAAGAACAATATGAATCGTTAGAAATGAGATTAAATAAAACGTGGTTAAATGTAATATTATGATATTACAAGTAACAAGATGTAACAGAGATAAGAAAAGATAAAAATAATTCTCTTCTAATGGGAACCAAGAGATACAATAATGATTCTAGTTAGATATTTCTATCCTAAATTCTACTCTCTTATGAATTACTTAACAATGGTATTCTTATTCCTACTACACAGTCTATGTCAACAAAGACTACTACCTACTACTAAGGTTGTAACTTAAAATTAATTTCCTTTATTTATTCCTTCTATTCTCTTTGGTCTTTTTTCTTGCATCTAGAATAATTTTCATCCACTTTACTCCGGTACCTATTTCGTCTAAAATTATGATTAGTTAGAGTAAAGAACAATTCAATACTCTACTCACGTAGTAAAGATACCAAGATAGGGATACAATTATTTTATATCGAAAAAATGACTTTTATTTGTAACTAAGACAAACAATTTGGACCGTCTCTCCTGTGGTACATATTCGTTTAAAAATCTACTCGTTCAAGTTTTCGCTTTCTTTTGTCCTAAGAACGTAAATAAAGAGAAATAATCAGAGAAGAGTATTACGTATTTCGTAGCTTTCAATTTCCCTTACTATTTTCTCAATCGAAAGATTTTTTTTTCCTTGTCTGTTTTATGTTGCATCGACTACAAGGTCATTAGCGACAGAACTATTTGCGATTATTTATATCTTAGAATATATATTGATGTTTTAGAGGAAGTCTATTGTATTTCTGATGTGGTCTTGCACTGTTAGGGCTGAGTCTGGTTTGATTCCGTATTTTTTCCTTTTCTGTTATATTTCTTTACATTCGTATAATAGATGCTTTACTGTTAGACGATGGGTTTGGCAAAAATGACATTTCGAGGGTTCGGTTTTAGTGACGAGGTAGTCGTTGGTGATTTTCGTATGGCCAAATCTTAGTCGAGACAATACAGATTTTTCTTTCCTGTTGAGGTTTATAGTTGGTATTTGCTGATAGAAGTTCTGGATGATGTTGTGAATTTTTGATGTGTTGGTTGTGGTCCAAATCTTATTCAATTATTATTCAATTATTTTATTCAGTTATTTGATCAAGACATGGTATTGGTGTTGCAAGTTCGTTTGGTGGTAGTTCGGTTGCTCCTTTTGCGGCGGTGTCTGCTTTTTCGTTTCCAATTACAAAGATTTTGTCGCTTGTACCGCTTTCCTTTCGAGCCCCTCGAAATATATCCACTTCTCTGATCCACTTCTCTGATTTAAGAACCGCTTGCGTGACGATTGCTGAAAATACTTTCGACGATAAGAAAACCTATGGAAGTGGGAAACAGGAAGACTGAACGATTATGCACGATATACAGAAGTGCGCAATGAGTGGCACAACGTCGAGGCAACGATTGAAAAAAGTGGGGAGCTACAAACTGCATTCTGACTGCCGAGACTACGTTCACGCATTGCATCACAGGTGGAACGACTAATTGTACTGTACTTGGACGAACGAGGAACATCTTCGTGGTCGCAAAGATCGATTTAAAGAAAAGTCAACTGGTCGCAAATTTTTCGTTTGTTCTCGCCGGTTCACGTGACGCATCTGTTTGTTACGCGTTGCACGTTGCGCGGGATCGGTGTTCCATTGATCGAAGTAACCGGAAATCGATGACATGAGCCGAGGATCTATTTCCAGTTGGCAGGATTATGGGCGTAGAAGTTGTAAGTAACGTTACAATTCCACATTTGATTCATTCTTGCCGCTCTCGATTCCATAGTTACCGAATTTTGTTTTGAAAATTGAACATTCGTGAAACTTAGCACCTTTTTGGTTTAATTCAGCGAGCAGTATTTTGAGTATTGTTCTTCCTTGTTTAACGACCACTTCCATTTTAAGAAATTAACGAATTCTACTTTCGTTTTCTATCTGTTTACATTGCAGTTTATGCTTAGAAGTTTGTTTATACTAAACAGGATCCAGAAACAGGAGTCGAAACGTTTGATAAATACATGCTTGAGAACGAGTATAGTGCTTTCGATTCGGTGTTTCGATTAATAAGAACATTTATTCATCTATGACAGTCAATTAATGAGAAAATTCAACGAAAATAAAAAAATAACGTTTTTTTCAAGGCAACCTCGTAATTTTATAC